TGGGTGGGTGGATGGGTGGATGGATGGGTGGGTGGATGGATGGATGGATGGGTGGGTGGATGGATGGATGAATGGGTGGGTGGATGGGTGGATGGATGGGTGGGAGAAGAAAGTAGTAAGTACCTACTTTGTGCAAAGCAATGTGCTAAGTACTCAGGGTACAGATAGAAAACTGAGACCCCCTGGTCCACTCCCAGTAGAACAGGGGAGACAACATCTAGGTAAGGTTTCAGCTGCAAGTCAGATGGAAAAGTCCCATGGTGCTCACAGTGCAATGGCAAAGCAGATGGTCATGTCTTTTCTTTGATGACATTTCCATTGATAAAATCCTATCAGTTCCTGCTGTCGAACCATTTGGCAATGCCAAGGACTGTGGTAACAAGACCTTTCTTTTCTGGGTCTCCAGGAGCTGTGGCTGTAGGCCTTGCAGAAAGAAGGGTCCCCAGCCTGCGTTTCCCTAGGGACTGCTGCCCAGGGGGATGGCTGAGGTCACTGGCCTGGAAACCTGACTCTTCGCAAGGTTCTTGGGCTCAGAGTCCTGGGTTGTCTCTCAGGGTCTGAGAGAAGATGGTGGTTAAGGTGGTGAGGGTGGTGGTCCACATCCCTTGGGGTGCCTTAATGCCTCAGCTGGACTGGCTTACAAGTCAGCTGGCCACCAGGAGAAATGATTGATCCTCTTTCGGTGGGAGTTGCTGTCCCAAATTATGGCCATGAGGGCTGGGCTGAAAGCAGGAACAGTGCAATGGCAGTGGTGCCCCTCTTAAGGCTCCTGTGTCCATCTCTTGGTGGTCCTTGGTCAGCAGCTGTTGCTAGTGGCTGTGAAGAAGGTGGACCCCTGCTCTACAATGATCTCTCTTGTAGATGATGGCTGTGGGGTCCAAGATGGAAGTAGAAATGGGGGTTTAAGGGACACTGCCATTGCCAAGGCTCTTGGACTCCTGGGCATCTCCTTTGGAGGCAGAGAGGAGATGGTGGTCAAGGTTGTGGTGGTGGCTTGATGGATGGATAAAGACTGAACTCTGGTCCTTAGCGGGTCAGTGGTGACCTGTGAGGGAGCAGTTTCCCATCGTAAGGGGTTGATGGAGGCCAAGAATGATGGAGGGTAGAGATGTTTGGGAGGAGAGGTGGTAGAGGAATCAGGTTTGTTCAGATCTCAGCCAGTGACCAGATCCCACCCAAAGCTCAGGCTCTGTTCTGTATATTTTGGAGGCAGCTGTCAAGCAGGGGTTCCTGGCTTCAAGTGGGAAAATGGACTGGACCCAAGTAGATAGATAGATAGATAGATAGATAGATAGATAGATAGATAGATAG